CTTCCTCTCTTGTCCCCAGGGTCTGGAATTCCCGAGGGCTGGCCTTAGCAGCAAAGACTGAGGCAAAGGTGGCATTCAGCAACTCTGCCTTCTCTGTCTCCTTTGTTACCAGGGCACCCGCCCCATTCAGCAGCGGGCCCACGTTTTCCCTAGTCTTCCTTTTGCTATTGATGTATTTGAAGAAGGCCTTCTTGTTGTCCTTGACATCCCTTGCCAGATTTAATTCCAACTGGGCCTTAGCCTTCCTTGTCGCATCCCTGCACGCTCTGACAACGTCCCTGTATTCCTCCCAAGTGGCCTGTCCCCTTTTCCACATTCTGTGTACTTCCTTCTTCTGCTGGAGTTTTGCCAGGAGTTCCTTGCTCATCCATGCAGGTCTCCTGCCCGCTTTGCTGGACTTCTTCCTCAGAGGGATGCACTGCTCTTGAGCCTGGAGGAAGTGACGCTTGAATATTAACCAGCTTTCTTGGACCCCTCTTCCTTCTAGGGCCCTGTCCCATGAGGTTCCCCTGAGTAGGTCCCTGAAGAGGCCAAAGTTAGCTCTCCTGAAGTCCAGCGTTGCAATCCAACTCCTTGCCCTGCTCCCTCCTCGTAGGATCCTGAACTCCACCATCCCATGGTCACTGCAGCCAAGGCTGCCCCCAGCCTTCACATCTCCAACTAGACCTTCTTTGTTTGTTAGTACAAGGTCTAGCAATGCACCTCTCCTCGTTGGCGTCTCCACCACCTGAGTCAAGAAATTATCATCAATGCTTTGCAGGAACCTCTTTGACTGTTTGTGCCTAGCTGTGCTGTCTTCCCAACAGATGTCAGGGTGGTTGAAGCCTCCCATGAGAACCAGGGCCTGTGATCGTGAGGCTACTTCCAGCTGTCTGTAAAAGGCCTCATCGATGACTTCTTCCTGATCAGGTGGCCTATGGTAAACCCCCACCACTGTGTCGCCCATGTTAGCCTGCCGTTTAATCCTTACCCATAGGCTCTCAACTTGCTCTTCGCCCACCCCGAGGCAGAGCTCCACACAAAGCTGCCTCCCTCACACAAAGAGCAACTCCACCACCTCACCTTCCTGGCCTGTCTTTCCGAAAAAGCATGTAGGCAATAGGCTAATGCTTTTTGCTTTTTGGAGGCCTTGGTTGCATTTGAAGACTCCACTATTTCCCCTCAGTCTTCTCATTTGAACAAGTCGTTTTTCTCTGGCTTTGCTTGTCATTTTTTTTCGTGACTTCTCATTGTTCTCATTGTCCATCTCTGGGTCGTCTCCAAGCTATCTGCAGCTCTTCCCCACGCAGAATTTGTTGCTCTGACGTATGGCTCTGGCTGGTACTGCCCAGTCCAGGACTGTCTGTCCTTTTTTTGCTTACTCTCATCTTTACAGGAATAGGGATTTGGCTGTGAGTGCCTTCCAAGGAGCTGTCAGGCTCTAGCTTCTCCTCAACAAGTCCTTTGGTGCCCATTGGGCTCTTTCCTCAGCCGCTGACTCTTCTGCTCCGCTGCAAAGGGACAGACCCTCGTTGAGACTGTGGCAGAGGGTCACTTTCTGGTTCTTTCATCACGGAGCTCTGTGCCGTATCTCAACGTCGTTATTTGTACCAGGGAGCAGGGGGAATCCCCTTTGCTAAGGAGCAGCTGGATGCAGCTAGTTCAGTTTGAGACATTTGCTAGCAAATTGCGCGCATGCAGACAGGCGCGAGCACGCAGAACAGAGTGAGGTCAAGGAGGAAATAGCAATAGGATTTAATAAGAAAACAGGACAGACCAGTGACCAGGCACTGGGCTTGTCCAAACAAGTGTATTCACCAGCAGCTGCTTGCGCTTGATCAGCCTCTTTTATCCACCCTTTTTTTCCCCTTTCCCATGTTCATTCTTCCCCATTCACCTTGATCCCACTCTTTCTCTGCCCCAAATAAATTACTAACCTCTAATTATGTTTTTCCTAAGGATCCCAATTTTGCTACTTGCACACCCAAACTTTGTACTTCCCGTATACATACGTATGGTATCTTGGTCTTATACGGTATTACTGATAGTATTACCTGGGCCCTGCCGGCCTTGTAAGACTCCCCCAAAGGTCCCCAAGATGCCCTTTCAGTTATCTGCGAGGTTTGACCGTCTCACATGTACCTCCCCCTTAACCACCCGTGAGACCCAGCCATCTCCCGGGGAGCCCAGTGACAGGACAAGAGGCAACAGGCAGAAACTGAACCACAGGAAGTTCCACCTAAACCTGAGAAAAAAACTTCTTTCCTGTGCGGGTGACTGAGCACTGGAGCAGGTTGCCCAGAGAGGTAGTGGAGTCTCCTTCGCTGGAGATAGTCAAAACCCGTCTGGATGTGATCCTGGGCAATATGCTCTAGAGGTCCCTGCTTGAGCAGGGAGGTTGGACTAGATGATCTCCAGAGGTCCCTTCCAACCTCAACCGTTCTGTGTGATTGTGTGTGTGACATTCTGTGTGTCACAGCACCCCAAAACCTGGGGCATGTCACCTAGCGAGTGACTTCAAGAAGAGACAAGTCATTATGTCCAGCGTTTGCTCCTATTCAAACGAAAAAGTAATTAAGGTCACACCCTCAGTCTGGACTAGATAAAGGCAAAAGAGGTTTACTGCTTCCAGGACCATGGAAATCACCCTGTTCTGCTTGCTTTGTCCCAGCCTGCGTTACCGCAGCCTCTCCCTCGCCTCCCCTTTTTCTCTGTCATCGTCAATTAATTTATCACCCTACCAGGATCCAAATGAGCACCCGGGCCATGCTGAAGGCCAGCTTGGTTGTGTTCAGATGTGCAGTGCAGCAGAGGCTGAAGGAAAGCGAGACGAAGAAATTGGTGACCTTCAGGTTCGAGTTCCTTGAGCAGGAGGTATGCTTGCATCGGGAGGGGATGCACCTGAAACGTGCATACTCAGATCCTCCAACCTGGGTGTGAGAGTTGTCCTGCTGCCCGGCCTGCCCCGGCCCCCAGCTTGGGGGACTCCCGCAAGGGGCTGTGCAAACAAGAACAAGCTATCGGAGAAGGGAAAGGAGGCGAGCGTAGTCTTTGTAGGACCTGTGGAGGTGATTAGCTCTGTTTCAAGATCCTGGGTGGGTGAGGAAGAGGCATATATGATCAGCTCCACCTTGTCTTTGGTAAGCATGGTATTCAGGAAGGTAGGGAGTTAATGCCTTGTTCTTAAATTGTGGCATAACCTCCCCGGCTGGACATCCTCCACGTTAACTCATGGAGGTGGTGATGCCCGTTGACACCATCATCTGCTGAATGCTGGACTTTAATCTCATAAAGACAATCTAAATTAGTCTTAGGAGGTTTTAGCTTAGATAATTTATGTGATTGAAGGGACAGTGGCAAACATCTGAAGTTATTCTTGCAGACAGACTTCATCATCAATGAGATTGAAAAAGTCATCCTCCAGAGGAAGGCAGATATTTATCACTCCCTGTCAGCATCCATTCAAAAGGACCTAACACCATATTATGAAGGTAGGACCAGTAACCTTTTTTTTTTTTTTTCATTTTGTACCGAACGTTCTTTTGATTTTTATAAAACAGTTCTAACAGGGGCTCAGAAAAAGAATCCAGGCCTGCTTATTGAAAGTCTGGGAACAGAGATCAGAAAGATCATATGTTAGTTAATCATCAAGTCAGAGAGTTTTCTGAAGTCCAAAGAGGATCATGCTCAAATATGGACAATTAGCTGCCTAATTTATTCTAATTTGCTTATTCTTGTAAACTAAAGATTTTTTCTAGCATTTTTTTCATTCTTATTTATCTGTCTTTGAAGGAAGGAGCATGAAGGATGCTAAATTAAAAATCTCATGCATTTGTTACTGCCTTCCTTTTACATCAGTAGGTGGCATACTCAGAAGATGAAAAAGTAAAAAAAAACAAAGTCCAGAAATCATTCCTGTTTCCTTTAGAAAGGCTCCTAAATTATTCCATCAGTGGATTCTGAAAATGGGCTGCTGGTCTTGACACCAATAGTTAGTCACACCTAACCCTGAGTAAGAAAGTGTCCTGGAGATGGATGATCTCCAATACAGCAGCATAAAATGCTATTTTAATGGCTCATCCTGAGCCTTCTGGAAACATTTATGGAGGCCGAGAGAAGGGCGATGGAGGGAAGTCAGCTCAGTTACTACACGTCACTGGCACTAGTAGAGCCAGCTGGGCCTCTTTCTGCAGAAGCCTGTGGCTTTCACCATTTTGCTTTCCCAAATCAAACCGCCAGCCCTTCTTCCCACGTCCATCTTGAGTCTGGACATCATTGTGACTGTTCTCACTTTACCACAGAGGCTGCTAAGATAAGAGGGTCACAAGCCTATCAAAGGATGCAAAATGTCATTAATCAGGGCCTAAAGAATGAGGTGGAAAGGGGAATGTTTGAAAAAGCAAAGGAGGACATGAAAAGCGAGCTTCAGAAACTGAAGGTAAGCCATGCATCTTCCTCTTTTAAGGGGGTTTCTTTACAGGACTGGAGAGTGCTTTGGAGATAGAGGACAGTATCCCAAAAAGGACTGTCTCATGCTAAGGCTTATGGCCAAAGATATTGGAAAATGCTGCCTGGGAAACTATCCGAAAGATATTTTGATTGCACCTGTGCTAGTAACCTGAACAGAGCCAGGGAAAGGAGTTGGGATGGATTTGAAGTCCATAGGATCCATAGGATCCTGGAAGAACGACCTTGACATCTTTGTGACTTGGGCCAAATTATCCTGCCGCAAACTGTCCGCGGGCAGGCTCAGGGCTTCGCACGGGCTCCCCTCCCAAGGGGCAGTCTGGATGGGCCCCCAGTTTGAGGAGGGAGTTTCACGCAGAGAGGCCACTGCCGCTGCCGATGCCCCCGGTGGTTTTGTGGCAGGACTTGTCTCTGGTGGCTCCCAGAGGCATTATTAATGTTATTAATCCGTAATGGCTGCTTATGGTTATGGTTGACCACCCTTAGTGCGAGGCACTAATTGCAGGTCTGAGCCCTGTCCTCAAGAGTCTGCATAGAAGTCCTAACTTGACCGGCAGTCATCAGCCATAACTGGTAACTACAGCACTCCTTTTCCCAAATTAATCCTCCTACTTACCACTGAATAAACACTTTAGAGTAGCAAATGCTAAAAGCTACCTTCTCCACACCTGAAGGCACTGCAGTCCTGGCAGGCAGTAATAGTTTTCTAGGCTAAGCAGTTTCCCAGGTGGCAGGTCATACTTTGGAGCTGCGGGGTCAAATCCTGCAAGAGCCAGTTCTGTCCTTCAGTGTTTTGGATTAGGTGCTCTGCTCCGCTCTGAAAAGTGGATATGGAAACATTTAGCCCTTCCTCTATCAGAACAGCCATGCTCCGTTTCTGAGCCGTTGACCGGCTCTGCAAAATGCCCTTTCATGCACATCCTGACTAGCAACAGCAAACAGCCCTTGCGGATGTGGACGGTAGTGGCCGCTGTGTAACCACACTGCTTTCGGCGGTCTGGGGAGTGTGTGGCGACGGAGCGGCCTGGGTGCGACCAACTGGGGCCACGGAGGAGCCCATCTGGGGCTATGGGGCTGGGGATGCCCCCATGGGAACCAGCTGGGGCTCTGCAGGGCTGCTGGGGTGAGGAGCCCAGAGCCCTGTCCCCTGCTGACGTGCTTGGCAATGTGGCGGCTGCAGGTGGAGATCACGAGGAAGCTGGAGAAGGACTTTTCCGACATGCTCAGCCTCGCCTTCTGTCCGTGGGACGCGCTAGACGGGAAGCTGCCGGGTACGATCCGAGTTCTACCCTCTGGGGTGCCAGGGCTGGGTGGGAGATGCCTTCACCTGGGAGTGAGCCGGCTTGGGGGACAGAGGGTGTCATGGCCCAAAGGCAGCAGGGACCGTCCATGTCTATGACCTCCAAGGATAACACAAGCTACCTGTTCTGTGGGGGCCTATGGGATGGCAATGTGTTTGGTGATAGAGCAAATACCACCTGAACATCTTCACTTACAGTTTAAGACAGCTAAGCTTGTTCCCTAACAGCTGGATGGAGGCCTGTGCCATATTGCTATAGCGTAGGCAAGGCGAGTGAGAAGTTTATGATGAATATGCAGCACCTGTCCG